TGACCATAGACCTCCATTATATGACTGACAGACAAAAACGGTTTGACCTAAAAATATCAAAATTGAAAATACTGCGGAAACAAAGACATCTTGAGGAAAGCTAAACATACCAAGTGAACTATCCCTTGAATGTGAGTTCATTCCCATCCATAACCTTCTGTTGTTCCTCCTTGCCATCCAAATGTGACCATTGTGCTCGGAACACACATCTGCGTTAACAGAAATAATTACACACCTCAAAACATACTAATCAAACATGCTAACTAGCATAAATTACCGGCATGCAAAATGAGCTCAAAGGCTGCTTTTGGATGAAGAATTGGACGTTGGACGAGTGTGCCTACAAGGGCCTTTATCTGAAGCTGAAAGCTCATTTCGATTCTTTGCTTTGCGAGAGGTGACGGTGCCAAGAGAATCGAGCTGCTGGCAAAGCGGATGCCCGCTGTCCAGTGCCAAGCTAGCTTGCGCGCGGGAATCTGAGCCACACGTACCGTACACATAATGCCCGCGTGTATGACAAAGTGGCCAGCGCCAACACGCCAAAGGACAATACGCATTCAGTAGTGCACAGCGAGGGCATGACCTCTCCTGGACACACTGTGATCATGAGGAATAATAACAATACCTGTCCTTAATTAAGACACAATGAAGGAGGACAAAAGAAGCACACCTTCAGCAGCCTTAAAGTCATTTCAGAATTATCATATACGAGATGAGTGCACGTGATTACTCTATAATACACTTACTCGGGCTTGTCTTTGAGTTGTCCTCTGTTCACTGAAGAACCAAATTCAGCTCATAAGACCCCAATTTCCTCAATGTCTCATTCGGTGCTGAGATTTTCCAAAATGCCAAAGTCTGTAATGAGAATTCATAATTTTAATATGAATTTATCAAAATCTGACAGAATAGTCTGACCTGTGCTATCCAAAACCTATATTTCTATTGCACTGTTAAAAGTAGTTACCAAATAAAGCATATTGTAGGTTAACAACACATTATTTTGAGCTGTTCATTTTTTTCTTTTATAATCTGCATTCACATTAGATGGGTTTTCTTTATCCGTGTCAAAAGTGTTTTTACAAAAATGAATACATTAGGCGATATATTAATAATTGATGGGGAAAGGATAAGAGAGTAATTTCTGACTATCTGACTACTGTTGTACCAAATTACTCAAATGCCAGGATTCAGACACCAAAACACACATTTGTGCCAAATGTCAAGATCTGAGGTGATTTAATAGAACCAATTAATTCTTCCATTAAAAGATTTTTTAATCAACGTGTACATCACAGAAAGTCAAATCTTCGTGGAAACCATTAGAGATGCCCGAGTTATCAGCCTCAATGTGTTTGTCATTTCAGCTTAGAAATGAACAAGATTTAATTAACCTTTAACACGTGCAACAGGATAAAAAAATCAGTGCGTAGTCATGTTCAACACCGGGAACTCTTTATTACGGTTGTGTTTGTTTTTTGCAACCAGGAAAAATTTTATATAAAAAATAGGGCTGTCAAACGATTAATTGCATCCAAAATAAAAGTTTGTGTTTACATAATATATGTGGGTGCACTGTCTATAATTATTTTGTGTGTATATATATATATATATATATATATATATAAATACACACACACATGCTTGTATATATTTAAGAAATATTGTCATATACTGTATATCGATATAGAATTTATATTATATATAAATATAAATATTTTATATGTATTTTATATGTATATAAAAATAATATTTTTTTCTTTAATATACATGCATGTGTGTGTATATTTATTTAAAATAAAAAATAATTTTATATTTATTTATATAAAAAATTATTTATTTTTTTATTAGGGCTGTCAAACGATTAATCGTGATTAATCGCATCCAAAATAAAAGTTTGTTTACATACTATATGTGGGTGCACTGTGTATAATTATTATATATATATATATATATATATATACACACACACATGCTTGTATATATTTAAGAAATATTGTCATGTATATACTGTATATCGATATAGAATTTATATTATATATAAATATAAATATTTTATATGTATTTTATATGTATATAAAAATAATATTTTTTTCTTTAATATACATGCATGTGTGTGTGTGTATATATATATATATATATATATATATATATAATAATTATACACAGTGCACCCACATATAGTATGTAAACAAACTTTTATTTTGGATGCGATTAATCACGATTAATCGTTTGACAGCCCTAATAAAAAAATAAATTATTATACTATATTATGCAATATATATTATTTTAGACAAAGTCATGCATTGCGTGAAAAATGCACAGTGCAAAGAAAAATATTGTCATTAAAAAATATTATTTGGCGATTTAATTCAAGTTAAAACATGGCACTAAAACTGTGGTTTTAAAGTATCCAGTCTTGTGTGGAGCTCTAGTTAAATTATTTTCTATGCAATATTATAATGACTTAAACTTATGTAAAGTCCCACAATATTCCGGATTAAAGATACTGTAACACATTAACTATATAAATTGCTTACACAATTGTATTCCATGGTTCAGTTTTTAGAGAGCATCTCTTTGCAAACAAGTAATCATTTCACATTATTGCTACTGAAAAAGCATATTGATTTTGCACAAATTGTCTGGCCAGTATCATTGAATTTTAACTTACATACACGCCATCTGGAGGTTGTTAAGGCACTTTTGTTAGACATTGTTGTGGCAATTATCAACAACCTTATTGAACTGCAGAATTCACACAATCGCATATGGACCAAGTTCTAAAGGAAAATAATTACAATATGTCATGAAAATTGAGTCTGCTAGGTAAAAATACAGTGCACAAGGGATTTGGTGTCAAATAAGATACAAAGAAAAAATATCTAAGAAAAGAAAGTAATAGCTAGCATAAAAAAAATGGTCTGATAATTAAACCACTTCATCGAACCACAATTTTCAAACATTTTAAGTCCTGGTTAGTCTGATTAATGCAAAATATAATATTGTTATAAATTGTGAAGTCATCATGCAGTTCAAATGATTTAAAATGTTTTTGAACATTAGACTCAGAAGACCCTGCAAGGTTGTGCATGTGTGTGTTGAAGGATGAAGCCAGCAGGGACAGGATTATAGCTGTAATTCAGCGTGAAATTATTGTGTGTCGTTAGAGAGGTATTGACCCCTATGGTGAAAAAATAATGCAATGTTAATAATTAAGGAGGTGAAAAGAGATTTATCTCAGGCCAGTCATTACCCTGCAATAGTATTACTTATTTACTTCCTGAGAAAAGAGGCGTTGGTCAAAGCAGAGTTTATCAATATGGAAATCTCAGTACTTATGGCTTCAATATGATCAGAGTTCACATCCAAAACCACCTGAAATGCTAAACATTTGTGAGGCAGTTTCATATTATAGACTTGCTCTGGCTGTGAAGTGCTGGCAGAAAACCCTCTGTCAATGTCAGCGAATTCCAAATGACACTTTTAGCCCCTGAAGGGCACAGCTGGAAAGAAACAGTTTTCGAGGGGTTGTTCCAAATGAAAGAGAGGAATGCAATCTCTTCACTAAGGTTTCCTCAGAAGGTCAAGTATATCATTTTTGCCCCATTAGCAACAACACGGGAAAATGCAACAAATAAAGGTCATTTTTACATGATATTTCAAAACATTTATTTACTAAGACAATGTTAGCATATATTAAATGTTTTTTTATCATATCATTGTATGATTGGACTGCCATGACATGAGCAAGGACATTTTCACTCATTAGAAACTGGATTAGAAATAAAAGTCGAGTCCGAGTCGAGACTGAACGCGCGCGCAAACTCGACAATCGACTACTGTGGACTTCGACCGAAAACAGGAAGCAAATAGAGGTATATGAGATGACTGAATTAACTTCATTTTTATCAATATCTTTCACATCTACTGCAGTCAGATTGACCGTGGTCACTATTAATAACACCACTCACATGGCTGTGCACTCGTAATGACAAATCAAGGATGTTAAGAGGCTAAAAGCAGGTTTAGAACATGCCCCATTGAAGTCAACAGGGTGCGAATTTTAAAAAGACGATAACACGTTGTAGGCAACACCGATTTGTGTTTTTTTGGCCTGTACTGACAGCACAAATGTACAAAAAACATTAGCCCAATGTTAAAATTGACCGGAGTTCTTCTTTAATCAGTGATCTCTTCATATCTCTTCAGTGGATTGGTCTAAAGTTCCTGACTCTTTCAGCAGGACAGGCCGAGATTGACACAAGCCGCCAGCAATGGCGTCTGCATTGTCTACACAACTACAAGGACAGGGTGTCATTAACCCCCCCCCCCAAATAATGCTCTCATTTTAGACATGCAATCCCATCATGCCAATCCTCTGTCAGTGTAGTGCTCAAGCGCCAGCTGGCTGCAGCCCAGCAGTGTGAACCCTTTACACCATATTAACCACAGCTAATGATGCTAATAAGCAATACGGCGACCTCATTAACATTAGGCTGTGTATGTTAATAGGCTACATAAGCAGGATAAATGCAGAAGTTTGGTGAAAAGTCCATATTTGATAAATGGCTACAGATGTTGGGGGGTAAAAATGGTCAGATTCAAGAAGTAAAGGTGGGGGATCCGATTCAAAAAAGGCAAATGTGAATCTGGCCCATTGAATTATAAGAATTTGAAGAAACTGCAAGAACATTTCTGCAAATTAGGTTTAAAATGAAGTCGCACTATTATAAATTTCAAAGAAGCAAGTCACAATTGTGAGAAGTGCTTTTTAATGCTGTCTGTAGACCACTGAATGGCTTTTGGAACAGAGCTTGTATATCGACATCAGCTCACTGTAACATCATCAGCTAAAGCATAAAATCAAGTTACGATTTGGTTCTTCAGCTATATAACGGTCCGTTAAGCTATATAACTGTCCATTTTGAAACCAAAATGTAAATGTATGTGCTAAATGAAGTTCTCATCTGTCCTTGAATGTCTGTGGCATTGAAAGATATGCAAGAGAGAGTGTGTCTCTTGGCTCTGTCTTCTCTCTAGGCCCAATGCCAGACCTGTGTAAAGTTAGACACTGGGAGCAGGAGTCAGTACCCAGCATTCCTACTGTAACAAATGAAAGGCAACGTCAGAATGGTTACAATGAATATGACAGACAGAATGAAACGGATTATGTTGAAGAGTCTAAGATGTTGGCAACATGTGATGGCAGTGTTATGAGGGGAAATGTAAGACATTTGTTGTCAAGAGCAGGGTTTCCCAAATGCCTACGGTTGATGAGGGAACTGCAGGGGGGGTTGGGAGATTGTGACACTGTAGAAACATTGATGCTGAAATAAAGAAAGTGAAAACCTTTGTTTGTTCATTCGTTACATAACGTAACATAAAAATAAAGGCCCTGGTGGAAGATCAACAATGATATTATTAGTAATCATATACTATATTAATATTTTATCATTCAATGTTAAAATATTTATGTTGCTTGGAAAAAAATGTAGTCAGAATGCAGGACTACATACAAATCTGGGCATACTACAAATTGTACTATAAATCTAATGTTGGTTGATGGTTACATGACATCCAGGTAAACAAATAAAAAATGTATCTTTTTTAGTGTTTTATTTTGATTATTTTTATGTTTAAATGATTTATTTATTTATTTAAATTAGATATTTTTCATTAAATATTACTGGTTGATCAACTTACAAACCCACTGCATGGGAAAATGCACCGGGGAACCCCAGTTTGATGGTGAATTCACAGTATGCAATATAAGGGTTACCTGAAGCCAGGTTGGTACACTTACAAGCTTTTGATTTTATTTATAGCCTTTATATGCCAAATGTGCATGGAAAGTACTAAGATCAAGTCATTTCACTTCCCATCCACAACTGTAAACATGATTAATTTATTGCTTAAAAAAGCACCAAGAACAGGTTAAAAGCATTTATCAGATTGAGAACCAAGCAAAGTTCTCCCGAACAGACATATCTAAAAGGCTGAATTATCTCAAATGATCTCCTTTACAGTTTTACAAGTTGAAACAGAATCCAGCATGTGGTTGTCATTGCTATGCGGTTGACACCTGGATTGCATACTAGAATCAGTTTTGACATCAGGTAACATTAAAAACTTTTAATATCTATGTCATCTGACCATAACTGGGAGGTGGAGTGTGACAAGCCTCAGATGTATATCACTTCCAAGCCAACAGGAAATCAGATAACAGATGCAAAGAAGAGAACTATACAGGTGTCTATTCTGCATAATTGAAGGCATCCGAATCATTGATAAGACAAGCTATTAAAGGAGTAGTTCACTTTAAAAAAAAAAAAACTTGTCCATGATTGTCCAAAAAAGATGTCCATGTCTTTCTTTCTTCAGTCGAAAATAAATTAAGGTTTTTGATGAAAACATTCCAGGATTTTTTTCCATATAATGCACTTTACTGGGCACCAAACGGTTCAAGGTCCAAAAGACCGTTTGAAAGGGCTTTAAACGATTCCAGATTGTTCAAAGGGCTTTAAACGACACCGCACGATGAATAAGGGTCTTGTCAAGCGAAAAGATCGCTCATTTAAAAAAAAAAATAAAGTTTACATTTTTAAGCTCAAATGCTCGCCTTGCTCTGTTCTGTGTGAATCTCCTGTTCGAACTCGTTCATCAAAATGAACGAATCTTTTTTCGAGTCAATTCGTTCATTTTGTTCGTTGAATGAACCAAATAACTCACAAAAAGATTTGTTCATTTTGATGAACGAGTTCGAACAGAGCAAGGCGAGCATTTGAGCTTATAAAACTTAAACTTTGTCTTTTTTTTTTTTTAAATGACTGACCGTTTTGCTTGATAAGACCCTTATTCATCGTCTGGAATCGTTTAAAGCCCTTTGAACAGTTTGCAGTTTGTACTGAAACTGTCTTTTGGACCTTAAACCGTTTGGTTCCCATTGAAGTCCATTATATGGAGAAAAATCCTGGAATGTTTTCATCAAAAACCTTCATTTCTTTTCGACTGAAGAAAGAAAGACATGGACTTCTTGGATGACATGGGGGTGAGTAAATTATCAGCAAAAGTTTTTTTTCAAAAGTTTATTAATAATTTAATCCTTTCTGTCAGATACATATAGCATTGAAGCAACATTAACGATAAAAATGTTCAGATTAAAGGTATCTTTAAATGCATAACACTGCTTTTAGAGACATAAGTTAACTGCATTGAACAGAATCCAAACAATATAACTTACAATTCTGCGGTGGGCTGGGGGAGGGGGATCCCATAAACTCACACTGGAGAAGGGTTCAGGACAGGCTCATGGGTGGGGGTCAGGGGGCAAAAGGGAGCATTATTATCTGTCTCATCCGCGATTTTAACCGAGATGGAAGGCATCGACCCCTCCTGTAACGCAATTGGCCAGTTTGTGTGTCCTGGCGCCAAGTAACTCCTTTTTGACTTGCAACAGTAAGCAATCACCCAGAATTCACCCACAGTATTCTACTAGCAACTTACAATCATGCAAAACACAAATTGGCAATCATAGTGACACCTTGGTAACGACCCACGATACCTTAGCGTCATTGCAGAGCTTTTGCCCCCTTTTTCCTTAGAAAATGCAAAACTGTCATTGTAAAACATTTTCTTCAGAAAATGTAAAACAATCTTGTGAGAATGACAAGACAATTTACCCTAGGCACATAGTTCTCCAAATTCTTGAATGATGAGATTTTAATACAGTAGGATTGGCATTAAAATCCGCACCCAGTTGAAGTGTTCTGCACTTTATGAGCAGAGAAGAAATCATTTTCAAATTTGTTAGCATTCATATCATAATGATCCAATAAATTCCATGTCAATGAATCATCTGTTATTTACTATAAATTGTGTTCCTGTCTCTCCAGATACACATCAAACATTGTGCCGCGTTCAGCACAGCTGACTACGCTACGTATAATTAACAATTCAAAACATCAGCCGAGCCAGATTGCTCACGACAGTCAGGTTAGGATGAATTGATCTTTACAGAGTTGCCTAGAACATGCAAATGTTTCAACAATCAATCTGACATTTCTTGCCTTTTCAACTCCCTGCATCCAGGGCCCAAAAAGAACTTTGGACAGGTTGAACTGAGTAAATTTCATGGCCATAAATCTTTAGTAGACTGTTTGATTTGACACTCACGTCGTTAATATAAGCGAGGCCCAGACTATCATTCTTTAACCATGTAAAATTCCAGCCAGCCAGAAAGAAACTCACCTAAGCCCCGATTTAATCACATTTTACTCTTGGCGAGTGTTAAGTTTTGAGCAATCTCACAATTTGCATTTCTTAAAGGAGTAGTTCACTTTTAAAAAAAACTTTTGCTGATAATTTACTCACCCCCATGTCATCCAAGATGTCCACGTCTTTCTTTCTTCAGTCGAAAAGAAATTAAGGTTTTTGATGAAAACATTCCAGGATTTTCTCCATATAATGGACTTCAATGGGAACAAAATGGTTCAAGGTCCAAATGAGAGTTTCGGTGCAGATTCAAAGGGCTTTAAACGACACCAGACGTTGAATAAGGGTCTTATCAAGCGAAACGATCGGTCATTTCAAAAATAAATTAAAAAGTTTAAGTTTTATAAGCACAAATGATGAGCGTTCGTGACTCTCCTGTTCAAACTCGTTCATCAAAATGAACAAATCTTTTTCCGAGTCATGACTCAAAGGGTCCTAGATAAGACCCTTATTCATCGTCTGGTGTCGTTTAAAGCCTTTTGAAGCTGCACTGAAACTCTCATTTGGACCTTGAACCGTTTGGTTCCCAATGAAGTCCATTATGTGGAGAAAATCCTGGAATGTTTTCATCAAAAGCCTTAAAATTTTTTCGGCTGAAGAAAGAAAGACGTGGACATCTTGGATGACACGGGTGCGAGTAAATTATCAGCAAAAGTTTTTTTTTTTTAAAGTGAACTACTCCTTTAACCTGAAGACATCCCACCAGAACTAACCGAAAAAGTCCACCTGAGAAACTTCTATTTTCCACATATATTTGGGATGCACTAAATCTTATCTCGCATGCTATTTAGAAAGGCAGCAACAGTGTCATGCCGGTGGGTGTTTTCGTTAACTCGTCAGTAACTGCTTTAGAGGGCTATCATCGTATAGAACAGCGATTTACTCACCTTTACCCCAGCGCTCTCAGGTTAATAACACTGGGACCAATCCGGTCTTACAGGTGCTATATTTCACCACACACACACACACACACACACACACACACACACACACACACACACAAGCAACAGCCTCAATCTGTGTGCAGCCGTTAGCCAGAGATAATACGCCTTTACATCCTTTACCAAACCCTGAATGCTTCACTCTCTTAGGACTGTCTGATGGATTGTCTCAGGTCTGGCAGAGGCAGATAGCTAGACGCACAGGTTCTTATCAGGCCTAAGCCAGGGGGATGTTAATCAAGGCATCTATCACTCAGTTTCAGGTCTTAGTTAGCATTTAAATATAAAACCTGCACTCTAAATCGAGAGCATTCTCCACAGAAGTAACAAAATTCCTCATAAATTGGGGCTAAAGTAGTTCTGAGATGATTGTAGGATCTTCTAGACTGTATGTTTGTTATTCAAAGGTTAAACAAAGATGAGCTCGATGTTTCTTAATGGAAAAAACTCAAGATATTGTAGGGATAGTTCACTTTAGAAATTTATTTGAAATTAAATTTTTTCAATTTTGATATTTTTAGGTCAAACCGTTCTTGTCTGTCAGTCATATAATGGAGGTCTATGGTCACCACCTCAAAGAGCATGCACAGAGAAGTCCAAATTAAACATGATTTAATGACTCGTAAATGTAAGTACACATTGATGGCCTAAGACACGAAACGAGCAGTTTGTGTGAGAAAACGAACAGTATTTATATTGTTTTTACCTCTTGTAACCACAGCCACGTCCAAGAGACAAGCACACAAGTCGTATGCACTACCTGTTGTTCATTTTGCAATTGAACTATGAATCATTGTATGAAAACCAACTCTCCTGTAAAACCCTAACGTAGACTCATGGTGTTCCGGACGGCTGTAAATTTCTACTCACTGTGTTTCTGACAGGTAGAAA